CATACAAAAACTTTCATTTCGCTGCTAAATTAGTAACGCAATTTATTACACACAGGGAGTGCGTGCTAACCTTACGCCATCGAGGACACACTCTACTGTCACTATCTTCGGCTCAGTTCAACACATCAGTGATCAGACAACCTTTTTGCATTCAATCCAAACTTCTATTGTTTTTACGTCTTTTTTCGCAGTGTTACGATGTTCCATACATTCGCAAGAGAACAGTGCTGAGCAAGAACATGGAGTCAGGCGAGAATCAAACCCTCGTTTCATCCTATCCGGCCACTCGTGTTCTATCACTACACCACTGAGACATATTTGCGCCACCACTCACTCTTCAACATCTCTACGTTAGCTGTCACCCAAGAAACCTTTGACAGGTTAGGTCGGGTATGCGATTTTGCTCTATAAACACAGTTGAGCTGACAGCCATTGTGACAAGTGATAATCCAAATTTCTATTGTTTTTACTGCCTTTTTAGCAGTATTACGATGTTTCATATATTCCTAAGAGAATTGAGTGGTGATTACAACTTTGATCGCATAGGAAAACAACACCTTTCCCCATTCAAACGAGTTTTATGTGTACGAAAAGGACGGAAAAGTGTTATGAAGAGGATTAAGCATCAAACTACTAAGAAAAATTCAAGAATTCACATGAAAATGCTGAGAAATTGGTTTTGATTGAATGACGAAAGTGGCGCGCCGTTGTTTGCGATGCGCCGCTGCTCCGGCCTGTGTCCTTATGGGGAGTTGGCGAGCATTAGATCATCGCTGGAGGGCATTTTATTCGAAGTGATCGCAACCAGCTGATGTTTTACAGTCTACCATGAACACGAATGATCGGCAAGTTATCTATCAGAATGAGAAACTTGTTGACAGCTGTGTAAAGGGCTTATCATTGCTTTCACGGCATTCTGTTCTCTTCTACGGACGAAATTCGCATCTCATCGTAGATCATGCGGCTGTCTACCAACTTTCAATTCTAAAAAGGTGAAAGTCAGATGCAGATTCTTCACTGATTTTGACTCGTCATTCGATAGCTGGACAAACAAGAATCCCAAAAATAGGCTTGACTTTTAAAATTTGCTACCATTACACCACGAAGGCAACCGTTCCGCTACCATTTGTCTGATATCATCGCAGCTATCAGCGAACGACCATCCTGAAGATAACTCAACACCATTGCATATAAACTGATTATAGCTACTAAGACTCTAAGACGCCAACTAGTTTGCAAGCGCTTGTATGACCGTCTCTGTATGATAAAAGATTGTGAAATATATCCTAACGGCAGAGACGGTGATTGCATGAGGTAGGTACTGTCTACCTAATTTCTTGCAAAGCGTGTAGCGATGTATATATTGGGAAAACGGGTAGGCCGCTTCATACCCGCATAGAAGATCACCTAGCTGACAAGCGTCTTAGTAAACGGAACACCCCGATAGGAACGCATAGAGAATAGAGACACGACGGGGTTCATTTTGAGGTCAAAGTCACCATCCTTGCGCAGGAACAAAAAACATCAGCTCGAAAAATTCTTAAAGCATTTTGGAATAATGCGACCAATCCAACCATAATCCGCAGGGAGAAATGCCTCGTTATCACACGTGTTTTGAGTCAGTATATAAGACTGTTGTTTTGATGGGCATGGTGCAATACGAACCTATATGATCTCCTTCTGGTGGTCTTCACTTGAATCATTCGGTGGAACACATATAATAGCGATGAGTATGATAAGAGTTGATTTTGTGCTTAATGCTTTAAAATCTAGGTTTGGTGATTTTCTCTAAAGGAGCAGTGAAGGTGATTGGCTTATGGGATTGCGAGGATTTTGACCTTTCCACGCTCTGAAGAAGGCGAACAGCCGAAACGTCAGTTGTCGAATGAAGTTTACTGTAACACCGCGTGTTTGGCTTAAAGAAGAAAATCAGGAACTAATCATAGCTTCATGATTTTAATCGCTTTGAGGGTTAGACATTGCATGGCATCAGAGAATATCGAAAAACAAGAATAAAAAAGTGATCGGGCAACAATATTTGCATAGCCAAAACTTTGAAAACATTACCAACATTAATCCAAGGTAAATTTATTTGACTGCCTTTTGCGGTGTTATGATGTTTCTATGAATCCAATGATGTAGAGTGAAGTCCTGGCTGACGCAAACGTTTCTGCACACCACTCTACATCATTGAGCTTATCAACATTAACATAAAAAAAACATTAGAAAGACTAACACCTATATGATCAGAGGGTGTCTAAATCGAGGAATTTAATTAGTTTACAAAGCTCTCGACTACAAGCGGAAGTCGATGCGCGTTCCACCCGTGCCGCGAACGCGTGCTATCACTACACCACCCAAGCCATCAGCATCAAACCCAATTAAGCAAATAGTAGAGAAAAGAATTCATACATTTTATGAATGTTCGTTAATTTTTAATGAATATGTTGATCTTAAGGGAGGGGAGGATGGCCGAATGGCTCGTGATGCACCCGTGGCTCGACGCGGATTGATCCCTTAACTTCGAAATCAGTAAACGAACGCCCCTACGAAATTCTCCAGTCTGGCAATAGTCGAAAACGGAAATCGTTGCGCGCAAACAGTACTTCAAACGGCATGTTCTCGATCAAGCTAGGAACGCGAACAGACGAATTGAAATGAATTTAGTATTGGAAGTCGTGCAGTAATAAAGATCTGATCTAATAAAGAAGATCTGTGATAAGGACCAAATAAAGCAATAAAATAACATAATGGCAACATTAAGATCTTGTATGCACCGAAAAACATCGAAACTTTAAATACTTCTACGGCAATTACCTGTGAACATCAAATCCCAACTCACTGCATGTGAAGAGCAGCACAGCTGCGCATTAAACGACCGCATTTCTCAATACATTAGAGTTTTATATCCACCACGGGCATTAAAGAGAGCACAGACGAACACAGAAAACTAAAAATAATGCGAAAAATTTGAGATATCCCATCGAGATGCCAATGAATTGATTCTAATTAAGTGGCGAAAGTCGCGCGCACCGCTGCTTGCCATTTGAACTGGCACCCCTAAGGGGTCCAAAGATAACCCCAGTAAATCATCGCTGGAACTCACTTTATCCAAAGTGATCGCATTCATTTGCCCATTTTAGGTATAACAGAGATGATTAGCTACCACCGCACCACCAAGGCCACCACTGCATCGCTACTATCTGTCTGATGCAGTTCATCGCAGCCGTCAGCATACAACCGTTCTGCATTAAACTCAATATCACTCGAAATAAACTTCCACTGCTTTCTGATTTTGAGTCACTATGATGATATTGAGTTATATATGGAACAGATCGCAAGTAACGCAGTGCAGTGGTTAGAGATCCTCTGAGACGCAAGCAACAGATCAGTCGATGCTCGATGTTTCGATCCCGTGCACAAGATTCCCAAACCTCTCATCCCTTCGGGGTCAGTGAATTCTTACTACACCTCTTCGGGTTGGTAGACCGGGTTCGGGTGGTTGGTAGAACTGGCTTAATTGATCGTGTAGGCGATCGAGAATAATGTTAAAGGTCAATTATGCATCAAGCCACCTCAACAATGTCATCAATAGAGTCGAGTGCATAGCGTATTCCTTAGCGGACTGGTAAACGCCGATAGCTCTGGAGTTTTATTTATGGGACGAGAGATCATCACTCATATCAAAAGACCGGAATAGTAATATTTCTTGCAGAGCTTGTACAGTTCAAGTAACAGCAGTATGACTACCTAGTGGGTTTGACTGCATGCTGTCAATATGAGAATATTGGAAACTATGAGAAAACCGGACTCTGAGGGTAGTTGAACGTATGTTACATTCGCGCCGGCAGCTCATGCTACCACTACACCATCGAGGCCACGGCGTTGTTACTGCTCTTCCTCCGCTATAAACTATTGTGGCTGCCGGCGAACAACCCCTGATGGGTCTGGTCTGGCAAGCACTTATCGGCACGAAAAGCGCTTAGCCAAACAAATATAGTAAAAAAAATGTTTTAAATTGACTGTCGATGTTCTCCAACTTTGAATGGTTTTGTTAGCCTAGAGCGCGTGCAGCGCAGTGATTAGCAGTGCTTTGCGGCAAACGTGCTCAATCAATCGATGGTCGATGGTTCGATCCCGCTCTCGGTTCATCAAGCTTTCCATATTTCTAGATTGGTGCTTTAATACTAGACTTGTTAGGGGAAATAGCAGAATAGACTTCATACATCGGTTGGTCTCCACGAGATAAACGCCACATATGGATGCCATTTTTAACGATGCCTGTTAACACGTTGCAGACCGCTTTGATATTCCGCGTGGCCGCGACGCTGCCGTTAGTTGCCGGGCTTGCTCCAATGGCAATAAAAATGCTTCGCAATGAAGTTAGCTTTATGTAGCCACTGAAGGAAAAGTTGTCGTAAGCAAGTACCAGCATACAGTGTAATAGACCAGGCCATAGATATTATAAATAACATTAAGCATTTGCGAAAAGGAAAAATTTTGAAATTTCCCAAACACTCAAATGCACTTCCTTAACTCCCTTAATAGGAACATACCGTAAAGACCCACAATAGTCTTTTGAAGAAGTTGCACCCTTAAGGAAACGTGTTCTAAAATTCTATTCTTGGAGCACTGTCAAGGGAACCGAAAAAAAAAGGATGGAAATGTTTCGGAACTGGCTCCCGTATTGAGAAGTAGGAAATTTCAGTACAACTGAGTGGACTTTTTTTGCTAGGACGATCAAAAAGAAATCTTCAGTGAAATTCTATCCTTTTGTGGCAGTAAAGTTGCTCCAAAATCATACTTTTTCAATGAAAGTATGAAAAAATCCAAGATGAAGTTTAAACAAACATCAGCTAACTATTCCGCATGTGAAACTATTTTTTTCTCCTTTAATGGAATGTGTTCTGAAGTCTGCAGAAACGACGCATATTATGAAAATCGCTAATAATCGAACTATTGAATGAGTACAAAATCGGAAATAAAATCACAAAAATTACGACCTCAGGCGGGAGTCGAACCCGCGTTTCATCCATACCGGGAACGTGCTATCACTACACCACCGATGTACATTTGCGCCACCACTCATTCTTCAACATCTCTATGTTAGCCTTCAGCCACCAACCCCACCTTAACAGGTTCGGTCGGGTATGCAATTTCGCTTTATAAACCCAATTGAGCTGACAACCATTGTGATAGTTATTACTCGAAATTTCTATTGTTTTTACTGAATTCTTTTCGCAGTGTAATTATGTTTTATACACCTAAGAGATTTTAGTGGTGAGCAAAAAAAACGACTTCAGGAGGGAGTCGAACCCGCGTTTCATCCATACCGGGGACTACCTGAAACTTATTTTTGATTAAACAAAAAAAAAAACAAGGAGGAAATACTCAGACAAATATTTGATTGAAGTCGCGATATGGATGAAACGTGGGTTCAACTTTCGCATGAGGTCGCATGGTTATTCGCCACTTAATTCTCTTAGGAGTATATGAAACATCGTAACACTGCGAAAAAGGCAGTAAAAACAATAGAAAATCGAATTGTTGCTTGTCACACTGGCTTTCATCTCAAATGGCTTTATGAAGCGAAATCACATACCCGGCCAAACCTATTAAAGTTTGATGGCTAACAGCTAACATAAAGATGTTGAAGAATGAGTGGTCGGGCAAATGTGCATCGGTGGTGTAGTGGTAGAGCACGCGCCTTAGGTAGGATGAAACACTGGTTCGATTCCCTGCTGAGACCATGTTTTTGCTCACCACTCAGCTCTCTTAGGACTATACGAAACATCGTAAAAAGGCGAGAAAGACAGTAAAGACATTAGAACTTTTGAGTAATAACAAACACTATTATCTAACACGTGAAAATATGTTAGTTTTAAAAGAATGTGGTTTCTTTCGTTAAACTTAGAAAGTCTCGAACACTTGAGTAGACTGTCCCAAAAGAGGCCGATCTATTATTGAAGTCGAACTTGTGCCTGTGGCCTAGCGGATAGTGATGCTCGGTCGGAATCGATCCCCCCCACTCTCCCTGCAACACTGTCCGGCAGCCAGTGAACGAATGCCTTTGGAAATGGTACAGCATGACTATCCCCGAGATTGCAAAAAGAGTCAATGGCGCATTTTCACGAGTTTTGTGAGAAAGATGAAATCCTCATGCAAGCGAGGAGACGAGTGAATGCTAGAATGGGAAGAGAATATTTAAAAAAACTGTGATACGCACCAAATAACGTAGTAGGGTGATACTGGCCGTGGAATGCTATTCAAAGAAGAAAAAGGATAAATCTCTCGGCGTTGATCACCTGAAGGATGAGCCGTGCATTCATCTTCACTTTCCAACTTCATTTGAGGTGATTGAATGCATATCTGGCTTCTATAGTGACCCGCGGTATCCAATCGTTGCTGCATATCCTGCCAGGCAAATGTGGTACCAGTTTACCGACACGGAGGGATGGATGGTTTGGTGAGCCATGGGCGCGAGATCAAACCATCGACCTTGTGTTCGACGCACAGCACCTCCACTGTGCCGCATCAGCACGCTCGTAACATTATATATAACGGGAATTTTCGAAGTTAAATAATTTATAAAATGTTATAAAATGAATTAAAAGATCGAGATATTCTTGGTACAACAAATCCAACTCACTGAACGCTCAGAGCAATTTGGAAGCGCAGTCAAGGAGCAATTTTCATCACACATGAAAGATATATTGCACCAAGAAGGTGACAGATTGTATAGAAAAGAGTGAAGTACCAAATTAGAACGAGAAATCTTGAAGTTTTAGTCAAATTGCCGAGTAAATAATCCTACTCAGACCGATGAAAATTGCGAGTCGTTGTCTTCGACTGGAAATGGCGTAAGCGGGTTGAATAGAGGACGGCGCCCGGCAGATCAACGTTGGAGTTCACTTTCTCAAATTGACTGCAATCAACTGACTTTGTCTGGAATGAAAAAGACAATCAGTAAGTCCGCTATCACAATGAAAATTTTACCACCAGCAGTGTAAAACATTTCACTACTGCTTGCAAGATATTTTAATTCCTTCTACGTGATGATTTTCACATCTCAATGTAGATCAAAATGTCTATCAGATGTTGACTTCAAAACGGTAGACGGCCGTTCTCTCGTTCCTCTTCCTCAGTCAAATATTAAGTTGAGTTCAAGATTTTTCCTCCAACTGTTCTTCTCGAAGCTCGCTGGTCAATTTCCTTTTGACGTGTCGGCACTTCTGCCGATTCCATCAGAGGTAATGGGACGGGCGCATGTAGCGAAGTGGTTAGAGAAGCACTGCGTCGCACAAGAGGTCAATGTTTCGATCTCGTGTTCTGAGCTCACCAAGACATCCATCCCTCCAGGGTTGGTAAATTGGGTTGTGGACGTGACCGGCAGGGTAGAATTAAAGACAAATGCAGGGCGCATCTCTCAGGGATTGATACGTCGAGAACTTTGTCCTTTGTCCTTTAATTGGCTTTATGTTGTTCAGTGCCAAGTGGCCTCGTAGGGTAAAACGTGGTCGCTGTGTTTGCAAGACAGGGAGACAAGCAAGCTGAAGAAACGGTTTTTTTACCGACACCCAGAAGAAGAAGTGAAAGGTGAGTGAGCGAGTGGGAATTAGATCCATCATGTCACGATATCTTAACATTTGACATGGTCGTTTGTCTTGCTCCTACTGCTTATATGTGCTGCTAGTTTGATCAACCAGAGTATATGATGGGCTGTATCCCCTAATTCTCACCCAATATTCTTGTCATAAAAGTTATGTTGACGCTGCTCTTAATCAATAGAAAAATTAATTATAATATGTTTCTTTCTATAGATTGCTGAATGATTTCTCACGCACTCTACCGTATTCAGCATTGTTAGATGTGTTCGGATGGCCTACACAATAAACTATGTCTGATAGGTCTCTAACTAAGTTTTCGAACTTGTTCCAGAAAGTAAAAATCTTCCCACAAAAATAAATTTTTCTCACCTATTTTGTGCCTAATTTTCCTGCGCATTGCTTGCTATATTTTTGCACATACTTGTCCAACATGGAGCCATCACAGGAAGTCATTCGCAACTTATTGCTTTACGAGTTCAATTGGGGCACAATTTTCAAACTGCAATTGACAACATTAATCTAACAAAAGGTCGCCAAGTTGTAGGTAGAACTATACTATACTATGCTAAAGAGAACTATACTATAAGAATATTTCGATAATGTTATTTGATACTTTCAATTACTTGAAAAAATGTGAATTTTTGGACCAAGTTTGGAGACATAGTTGGAGATTTGATAGTAGAACTTTTTTGGACCCTAACGTGATAATGGGCTTGCGAAGCCTGGGAAAATGGGACGAACCAACGGCATTACGGTATTTCGAGATTTTCAAGATTTTAATGGCATTCATAACGTAGTTTGGCCTTGCGGTGCGCATTGTTGATGGTTCTGTCTCTCTGTAAATAACTATTATTACGATAACAACTCCTTACGGCACACTTGCACTAGTGTCGAAACTTCCGTTGTGCAGCTTGTATCGTGAATTGGCAATGGGACGTTGTTGCTCCTCGTGTTCGCTGCTGGGTAATGTATTGCCGTCTAGATGTATATTTAGAAGGTTCACGAACATTCGCTTTCGTAAGGTGAATGTGGTGTGGTGGTACACATTCCTTTGCGAGTAGATAGGACATAGGACAACAATTCCATAGATCGCTTGATCTCATAGGATTCATTAATTTGATATTTTGGAGCATATTCTTACCTGCAGGTGGAGAAACATCACATCAAACATCTACAGCCTCTCCCTCACCTTGAAGAGGTACTGAAAGTCCGGTGATCCAGGGAAATCGACCACAGCAGCGTACCACTTGCATTCAGGCATATTTTCCAGATAATGTAGCATAATCTCTTTTGTTAGAGCCAATAATTTTAGACACAGGATCGAGGAGTGCATATGTTTTTATTGCCTGACACACAGGTAGTTTTTTGCATATTTTGTACGAAACGGTCAGTGTGTATTGACAAATAATCATAGCTTAAACTCAACCTAACATGGAAACGATCAGTAAAGCTCCAGACTTCACGGTTTGTCGAGGAACTTTTGTTGTATTTTGTGTCTCATTTACATTCCGACATTTAAACTGATTTTGTGCAAATTTTTGGCCTTAATCTCGTTATATAGATACCTCAAGTTTGCGATGAATTGCTGTATAGTTTATATTGGTATATTTTTGCACTGAATACAGTTGTGAATCAGCTAAACAGCCTAATCAAATGCGAATTTTTTTAGAAATTGTTAATGTTCGAATAATAATTCTTTTGATTTGATTACTACTAGCAGTGGTGTGATGTTATAAATATATCCACTGATCTAGAGTGATCTGCAAAATCTCACGTGAGTTGGAACTCAAACTCACATTTCACCATATCCGGGGCAAGTGGTCGAACCGTTGCACCACCAAAGTCTGTTTGGCACCACTCTTTTCGAACACCTGCCCCCGGATAGGGTGATTTGAGGGTTCGAGTCCAGCGAGGCAAGAATTTTCCACATCTCTCTAGATTACGCGTATGTGTAATATCATGAACTTGCTAATTTTCATTAAAGGTGTTGAATCTGAGTCCTAATATACAAAATATGCTGCGACGGAAGTAGCGACTAAGCATATATTAAGGCTTTAAAAAATGCATTTAATTTGTAATTACTGAAAGTGGAAGCCTTGAGTAAAGTACGTGAAGTTCTGCTAGCACTGATTCTTAAAAGTTTCATTCGAACACTTTTGACTGGTCTAAATATGTGTGTTAGATGCGCATCTTTTTTAAACTACACCATTGTGACATGTTTCAGCCGGGCCCGAACAGATCGGCCTATGATTCAACGGCGCTGTCGTCTAACTTCAGTGCGTCAGGGTAGATGTTACACGATTCAACTGCTGAGTTGAAAACAGATATCCTTTCAGTAATCTTTCATAATGAGGCATCCCTCGCCGTCTGCAACACCGTAACAGAATTTGCTACACTCATATGAGTAAATGAGAAGCGCTCAGTTTGGTGTGGATACACCAGTTCCACAACCCTGTCCACCA